GGTGGCATTGGTGGCATATGGCGTTTCTGGGTTTCTCAAGTTTTGTATTGTTAAACTTTATTCTGCTTAAATATGGTACTTATCACTTTTCTTTTTCATAGTGCTTTCAATTCCCTCTCCGTCGTTTAATCGCCAAATATCTAGAGGGATAGAGAGTGCATTTAATTTATGAAACAGAGGGATATATTTGTCCAACATTTTATATCCTTCATCTGACGATTTCAGTAGGTCCGTTGTGCTTTCCAGACACAAACAACATTTTGTCCAATCAGTTTCCCAACTATCCGCTGAAGAAGCTAACAAGCGACTTCTTTTCGCCATTTCAAAAATCAACCATTATATAAATACACTAAAGTGATCAACAATGTAACGATAGAACAATAAGAAATATTGTCTGAGTAAAATATCTGAACACTTCTGATATTCAGGCCGAGGGATTATCCTTTTACCACCTGTATAGCACTTTGTTGTATGGGATACAACTGAATTCCGTTAACCCAATTAAAAAGTTTGCCTACATTCAGCCCGATCGTTTATCCAGTATCATTTAACTCCCGTGCGATCTGTACACCATTCAGAGGAATAAGCCCCTCCTCCTTGGCTCGGCTCTCCAGCGTTGGTACATCCTGTCCAGGTACGACTCCATGATTTGATATTGGGGGCAAGCATGGAGTATTTGGGAGCACTTTAATCTTATAAAGCTGATACTGGACCCCATGCCGAGATTATCAGCAGTGATTTATACCAGTGTGCCCTTTGTAGCGCAAATAAATAACTCTCTGAGAGACTTTTAGTGATAAGTGATAAATATTAAGTAATGACTGGTAATGAATGAAATTTTACAAAGTCAAGCAACATCACAATGGACGGATGCCAAGTAAGGTTAAGGAAGGACGCCAAAAAAGACTTAACATTTCAAAATTAATCATAAATAAGGTCCGAGGACCAAAAGATGCTTCAAATTAATAACTATCAAAGTACTATGATTTAAACATTGACGTGTGGTGGTATGGGTCAAATGTAAGATATTTATAAAACCGGAAGTGATTTATCGACCGATATTTGACCGGACGTGATTTTATTACTACAACCAGACAAATAAACCTTCATTCACTCAACCTAATAACGTTTTGTATAAAATACAAGCAATATGTATCAAAAGGGAACATATATTTTATATGTTCTATCTAGATAGATACTGATAAAATACCCCTAAGGATACTCATTTGAACAAGATTTGATACAAAATCAGTAATTGTCGTTTTCTAGATAGGATATTTCAGTTTCACGCTGGGAACTCTTTTACCAAAAGTGTGGATTTGTTAATTTTCCATTTTGGACAGTGAAATCCCCTTCTTACGGTGTGTATATTACCAAACCAGTCCGCTATGCCCGTTTCTGTAGTGACGTTTTCGTGGGTTTAAATTTCATTCAATGATAGCTATGTATAACTGGTAAGTTGTTAAGTCAGGGATCATTACAAAAAATTACTCAAAACTTTTACTGCATTCTTCCATAGATATAAAGATAGTGTTCGAAAGTTTGTCTGTTCCAGCAAAAATCTTATTACAAATGGGGTATCATATCTTAATTTTAACGATGATCTTCTTTATATTGCATGTAAATTAAGATGCGATCCATTTAAACTCAGTGGTCCGTCCTATAAACTTATTCTTAAAGGTTAGCAATTTAACATCGTAGCAAGATCTCGGAATATTGTTTTTTACTTATAATAACGTATAGTTTGTTTTAGATAAATTAAAACATAACTATGTATTGCAATACAATTATGAAAACGTGTGGTCCTTCATCGTGTATACTATGCACCTTTATTTTATCATTGCACAAGGCCATGTTTTTTTCAGACTGTTGCAGACATCCTAATATTTAATCCGTTGGCTCTGTGCTGATTGATACGTTAGTCTGTGTGAACATGATTTATTAAAAAATTGTAATAGTTTTTAAATCAGCTTTCCCAAACTGTGAATACTCTACTTAGATCGGTACTTATGTCATTTTTCCATATGCTTGTTGATTTTTGTGCTTCGTGCCAATCTAATGAGTTCAGCCATTTCCAACTGATATTTACAGTTTGTTATTATGATGCGCTGTTACACCACTGTCCCGAAGTACAAGAGCCTGCGATTCAATGGCTGTCGCGGGTTCCTGTCTGTCATATTTGTTATGCGTTTATTATTTTGAAATAGCGTAGACCGGGTGTTCTTTTGTTTAAAAATTTTTCGTGATGCCGGGCCTCTTTATGAAGTTTCTTTATCCGATTGACAGTAATGTAAATGTACCATGCATGAAAAGTTCAATACCTGCAATGAATTTGTTGTGTGACGAAAGGACAAAAAAAGGGGGAGTTGTTATCCTGTTCCCAGATATCTTTGATGAGTTTTTTATTCTATTTTCTAAACGTGTCTACAATAAAACAAACATTATTAAGATCTGACTTTAAAACAGCGTGTAACAATAGAAGAGGTTTTATCTCTTTATGTCATGAGGAATAATTTCACTTACAGGTATAAACATAGGATGTTTGACGTTTTGTTTTAGTTTATTGGTTGATTTTTTTTCAGTCTTATTTGAGAGAAGTATTATTATTTCTTTTTATTTTCAACAGATATGGCAATTCTTTAGGTACTACAGTTTTAAGTGGCACAGGAAAGATATGGAATAGCTATGTGGCATGCAAAGGAACTGAAAGTAAGTTGGTTGACTGCAAAGACCAAGGAGCAACTCTTTATTCATCTTGCAGTCATTAAAATGATGTAGGAATTTATTGTTTTAATGAGACTCTTAGTACTGGTATGTATTTTTGTTTTCAAATTATCAAATTATGATCAAATATATATATGTATGTGATGTTGTTGAGTAAAATCATTCGTTTACAAAAGAAAAACATTCGTTTAGTTGATGTGATGATGTCTAAGTTAGGGGAGAATCCTGTAGTATTCTTAGACTTAGATTTCTAAGTGTAAACATATCACCGGTCAAAGGTAATAATATTTTCTCTTTGATTTTATTATATCTTAATCTTCCGATAAAAAAGAAACCACCGATAAAAGTTGGTCATTACAGAGACAATAGCGCTAAGTACAACTGTTTTACCTGCGGAAAATCCAATCAATGCATTTTGGATGAACACTTTCAAAATCAAAAGGGAAATTAAAAATATATTTAGAAATTACACGTTTATATAAAGAAATGATTTACCACAAACGTTTTCGGTACTTGAAATTCAATATTTTCATTACATTTTTCTTCCCTCCACAGCTTTCTTATTGTCAGAATAGTTATCTTTCTACAGCGATGCTTCGAAGGGTAGTAGTAACACAATGCTTATTCATCCGTCTGCTTTTTCGTCGGTCCGTCCGTTTGCAACAACCTTGTTGACATTCTTGAATCTGCATCTTTCAAGAGATTTTTAACATGGCATATTTTGTTTTCACTTATTTGCTGTAATGTGCTTTCCTAGGTAAAAGTTTTAAAACTGCTATTCTTGATCGATCATTTCTAATGCCACACATATGACACAGATCATTCATTTTAACAAACAATAATTGAGTTATTAATGAGACCACACAAAATCATGTTTGGTAATCTTACAAATATTATCTTCAATGCTTAATGGCAAACGAATCTTAACCCCCGAAATGTGTACATATAAGTGAAAACTCTCTCCATCGTACAACACGCTATTTGAAAATTGAACTAAGTGGAGAAAGGGAGACAACTTCAATTTTACAGTTACGTGACCAGACTAAGGGCATCTTCTCAGCCGAAGGATCCCGTCAATATTATTGGTTAATTTCGTAGCGAATCATTGAATTTATAAGACTCGTCCAATAAACACCAATGTGACAATGGATCCAACTCGTTCCTTGGGTGTGGAGATTTCGATGGACCAGTTTTCTCTAAACGCTATATTTTTACACCTCCACACTGAAGAGAGTTCAAGTGCTACCATTGGTCAAGTATAATGTATTCGGAATGGGCGTGACTTATATCAACCGATAGATGGCGTAACATTGTTATCACAAATGTTGGCTTAATCTGGCAATACGGAGAGGAGGGGACTGAATCGTAACCCTTGGCTTGCGAAGATGGGCTTAGGGTTCCAATAGCGTTATTATTAGTAATGCATTTTTCATAGGGCACCAGTGGTGTTTTATATTTTATTTCTCAAAGACTATATACACTAGGACAAAATTGATAGCAGTTCCTGTTACTAAAATGTCAGAGTTTAATTTTCATAACAACCAAAAAAATATGTTTTTTGGCAAAATATGACCTAAACTGCAGTTGAAAAAACATCGTCTATTTATTCGCTAAATGAAAAAGGCAGATTTTTAATGACTCTGACATGCAGATATTGAAATATTTTCTATACTTTGTAAAATGTGGATTCTATTTTCTGTATTTTCTAAAACCTAATTGGATAAGCTTTTCGATTAAAGGTAATTCCAATCCTGTATCATCCAACCAGAAGCCGCACAAGATTCTATTCTGAGTACCATCTTTATACAACAACTTGCGCGTTTGTAACCGACGATTTTTGTTAAATTTACAAATTTACAAAAACTTAATTAATAATTGAAATCAATATGTTTGCGTTATAATGCAAATGTTTGCGTTAATAGTAACATACTATCTGTTCGGTGTGAGCCAATGCTCCGTGTTAAAGGCCGTAGTTTGATATATAATGATTTAATTATTTACTTGTACACATTGTGACTTGGATGGGAGGTTGTCTCATTGGCACTCATATCACATCTTCTTACATCTATCTGCCTGTGTAAGAATATGAAGTAAACGTTGCGCAGTTGAGGCGATATTATAGTAAGAATAAATCAAATTTGTCATAGATGTGTAAGCTGTGTCGATTCTCTCACGAACTAAATTTGAGTCTGATGAAACTGGATCGATGCATCTACAAATTTAATGCTATTTAATTAAATACTTTTATTTTATTAAAAAATTATAATGTGCGAGTTCTAAATTGACACTCTACGCATCATCATCAATGAGCCTTTCAAAGAATAGTTTGATCCTTTCCAAGCACGCCAGTAAACGCCCCAATGGGGGGAGTCCGGTGTCTTTAGAAAATACTGACCATTCAGATCAGATGTTACACATGTATTAAACCACCAGGCTCCGGGATACATTGTAGCACAGTGACTAGAGTGGTTATCGTTATCGCTATCCTTTGTAGAGAAACCATGGCCGTTGTGATGTTCCAAGCTGTTACCTGTAAATAAAATACTCCATCAAAAATTGAACCCTGCTAATTTGTTTTGCTCTTATTTCTAGAAGAACATTTAAATAGCTAGATGTGTATTAAATGTAAACTATTTCATTTTAGAGGTTACTTTGCGTGAGTCCAACCCTGTTTTGTTAGAGTTCGGGTTGCTCAAGTTTGAAATTGACATACAATATTTCCTATAATAATAGTAAGTTAGGGTATAAATTCCTTAAGGAAGTAAAGGTCTTAATTCCATAACGAAAATGAGGTATAAATTCTTTAAGGAAGATAAGGTATAAATTCCTTAAGGAAGATGTGCCAGTATCTATCTAGTTATATAAATAACTGTTGAAATTTTTCAATCACAAGCTATTTGTATTACTTTAATTATAAAACCTTAATAAAAAGTTCGACATTCTATTAATACATGAAATGATTCACGTTTCGTATTCATCACATCGAGTTAAGTACATTGAACCCATACAACTTAAAAAAACACTATGAATATCTAAATACCAATCTCAATTGAGAGAGAGCAAAGACCGATAACTCTGCATGGGAGATTGATTAAAATATCATAAACACCAAATAAGTACCTGCAGTACCATGATATCCAATAGCGGTTAGTTTGAACTTCGAACTTTCATCTCCAATTGCAAAAACTTCATATTTTGCAAATGCCGTGTTTCCATCGAAATCGATTAAATCGATCCTCATTTCATAGTTGTGTTGTGATGTTAGAGAGTGCAAATTTTCGTTGCCTAAAAATAACGAAAAATAAACAATAAAAGATATAGGATGATTGCAAATGAGACAATCACCAAACAGAGACGAAATGACTTGAATGTGTATATAAGTAACTATATTTTATCGCATGGCCTTAAATGAGAAAAAAAAATACTTGATAAATTTCGTGTGTCGGAAACGCTTTTCTGAACTAACTGTTATCAGGAACGCTCCAACACAGACATTTGAAAGTCAGTTATGTATGTATACATCTAAAAGTATTTAAACAATGAGCAATACCATTCCTCATAGAAAGCGGAACAAGGCCTGACAATATTAAATGTAAATGATTTCGAACTAGAAAACCAACGGTCTCATTTATGATAAAACAATTACCTACTACTACAAGTACGACAGAAAGAAAAGCAACGACAACCATTGAAGCACAGCTGCTGACTTTGTACATGCATATACAGAATGTTGCGGGGTCAAACAAGTTTGCGAGCCCACAACCATCACCATAAGCTGAAACAGAGGTGTAACAACACAATGTAAGAACGAACAGTTAAACTTAGTTGGAAAGGGCTACACTAATTAGATTGACACGAATCAAAACAAATTTGACAAAAAGAAACACAGTGCTAATGTAAGGGTACTCGCGCGCATAAATTAAAAACTTTAAAGTCCGTTAAACACGAAGGTATTCGAAAAAAAAACACACAATGGATACGTTTTATTAAAACGATCAAATGACATTTTAATTAATATGCAATAACCGATCATATATTGGACAGGAAAATATATATTGTATTACCAATTTTGTTGAAACTGATAGACCTGCGAAAATTATCATGATCAAGAGTTTGTTTCCAGCTTTGGTATCAGAAATAAATAAAAAAAGATATGTCTGACAACCACTCCATTTACGATTTTGCCTTTTTGCTATCCAGTATCCAAAAATTTCCATATGTCCCTAGTTCAAACCTTGTCGGAAGTGCTTTGCGGCACTTTTATATCCATAACATGACTATTTTGAACTTCGGTTGCAAAATTATTTTATATTTCTTCCTGTGTGACGTTTACATTCTGACGTCAAACACGCGATTCTACACTAGAGTTGATGTAAACCTTGCCATTCAGTGACAGGACTTCAAATATGTCAATCCTTTATGGGTGGATTTAAATTACATATATACATGTAAGTAAGCAATTCAATTTGATAGATGCTTTTTGTGTTTCTTTGTTAAATATTTGTTTGTTTTTGTTCTAATTGAGATTGTGACACAGTGATGACTGCTGTACCCAGATTTTGACAATTTTTACCTATTATGTCTGTTTTGTTCACGCATCGTTGTAAATATAATGGAATTTGATGCGACTGCCATACAAGTAAATATAAAACCAGGTTCAATCCACCATTTTCTTCATTTGAAAATGCCTGTACCAAGTCAGGAATAGGACAGTTGCTGTCTATTCGTTTGATGTGTTTTATCATTTGATTATGCCATTTGATTAGGGACTTTCCGTTCTGAATTTTCCTCGGAGTTCGGTATTTTTGTGATTTTACTTTTTGCATTGAATGTTCTATTGACATAAACCTTACTGAAGTTATGAAAAATTTCTATAATATGATGACGCCAACAATTTTATAATGGGTGGATTGGTTTTGAACCTCCAGTGGCAAATATTACATGAATATCACGTAGAGAAAATGTCCGTGCTTTGTACTAATCCGCGACACTGATCAATGCGCTCGTTTATAAAGTTAAAACCTTCGGAAAGACATATCATACCCTACATTGACACATAATATTCTGAATCCGAGCCGATCAGTCAAAATTTGGTATTAAAACCTAATTCCCAAATGCAGTGAACATAGCACAAAACAGCACATGTCAATTGTACAGTTTTTGGTTTAACCTTGTCGGAAATGAAATACACAGCTCTCCGACTGGAGATAAGCACACAAGTACGAAACCACCGAGACGGTTTTTTTTTTTTTACAAATGTCCTTATAATGCGACACTATTCAAAATTTGCCAAATAAAGAATAAAATATTGTCCCATGCACTTTAATTAAACGTTTTATAGTGCTTAAAGTATTTTCCTTTATTCGGAAATTTTTGAAAGACATTTTGTAGTATGTATATCCTTGCTTAGTTCCGACTTTTTACGTAATGACTCAATAAACAGCATTTTCTAAACCTGTTTTGATAGGTGCAGAAATGTTAAACCACTTAAGTCACTATGTCAAGAACCCTATCCAATAAATGATAGTCTATTATTGGATTCCGTCTGCTTTGCCGTTGAATTATAGACTAAACGAGTTTTACAAGATATGCATTTTTAATTTCAAGAAATATCATTAACTGTAGTTTGATTAAAATTAGGTGTATTATTCAATCAATGTAAACTAAAAATTGACCTGATTTGCAAGAAAAGACAGTTGATTCAACTTTTAACTGATAGTTATAATAATTGTAAAATACATTTTAATCATGTGCAAACTAACCGAGCCAAAACTCATGCTTAGGGTTCCCAAATCCTAATTTGTACTCATTCCATCCGCGGTCAAAGTCAACATAGCCATTTTCTCTTCTTTGAAAAACCTGTAAAATAATACATATATATATGACAATTTAACACAGGGAGTAGTGCAATACACACTATCGTTAGAGGTTTATAAAGGTATGTGAAAACTTCTATCGTGTCAAAATCAGACCACGTCTTGTACCCTATGTGTACTCTGAAATGTAGCAACAACAAACAAATCAAAGCGTGAAAGCGCTGTAAAGGCAGTTAATTACCGGTTGTGTGTATTTTTAGTCCAGTTATATCATTATCTTGCATAGTACAGTGTACTTATCAGAGGTGGCTTTCAGTATTTAAGATTTAGAGTTCTCTAATGATATTGAACAAGTTATATGAATGTCATATTCTGAGCACTATATGAAGGTGATTGTTCTCACTTGTTTATGAACTAGTGCATTATGTCCAGTTTGTACCTTTTTTTATCTATGTTTATAGTCAAATTAGTTATCAAAGGTACCAGGATTATAATTTAATATGCCAGACGCGCGTTTCGTCTACATAAGACTCATCAGTGACGCGCAGATCAATATAGTTATAAAGCCAAACAAGTAAAAAGTTGAAGAGCATTGAGGACCCAAAATTCCAAAAAGTTGTGCCAAATACGGCTAAGGTAATCTATTCCTTGGATAAGAAAATCCTTAGTTTTTCGAAAAATTCAAAGTTTTGTAACAGGAAGTTTATAAAAATGACCATATTATTGATATTCAAATACTGTTTAAAATAGTTAGGCATTTTCTTTTTAGTAATAAGTAAATGTTATCAACTGTATTTTATTCAACTCTGCAAATGTGGTTTGTTACTGTTAAGTATGGATGATAGTTGTTTCATTGGCAATCATAACACATCTCCTTATTTATATAATGATCTATATTCAACGACCTCAGGTACAAAAAAAAATGTATGTAACTTAACTATGATGGGAAACCTTTGACTTCTTTCTTTTATATAAACTTTTGATTTTGTACCATAGAACTATGTAGAATAAATGTACATTGCAACATGTCAACTCTTTCAATGACAATACTTTTTTAAGAAACTATAACTCCAAGCAAAATTATATTTCCAAGTTTAAAGTAATTTATGAATGAAAAAAGGAGTTCTTAATTAAGAAATAAACTAATTCGCTGAGCGCAGCTGGATACACCCGCAGAGGTCCAACCCTGAACAGTTGGGGCAAAAATGGACACAATATTCAAGCTTGATACAGGTCTGAATTTGGATTGTAATTAAATATTTGACATATTATAGTTTCTGAATAAATGTAGTCAAAGAACTTGAAATCGGTTATATGAATTGAATTTATATTCAATTAAAGATTTCTTGCTGTTGTGCAATACTTAATAAATCTGTTGCCAGACTATAAACAAATAAAGTTCAATTTCTTCTCAATGTCATATTTGAAATTTATGAAAATCTATAGGGAGATTACATCAATAGTTATAAATAATTCACCAAAGTTTCATGCGAACTGCTTAAAGCATTTTTGAGTTTTTGTCCAACAAGAGTGCACACGCTGAAATGTCTCGCCTTCTTTACTAATCACTGATATTATGTTGATAGTCCTTAATATAAAGCTTTATTACAACTGTCACATAAACTTAACATTAACCAAGAAAATTAAACATTGACCAATGAACCATGAAAATGAGGTCAAGGTCAGATGAACCATGCCAGGCAAGCATGTACAGCTAACAATTCTTCCATACAACAAATATAGTTGACCTATTGCTTATAGTTTAAGAAAAACAGACCAAAACATAAAAACTTAACACTGAGCAATGAACTGTGAAAATGATGTCAAGGTCAAATAAAACCTGCGCGACTGACATATAGATCATAAAATATTTCTATACACCAAATATAGTTGACCTATTGCATATAGTATTAGAAAAAAAAACCAAAACTCAAAATCTTAACTTTGACCACTGAACCATGAAAATGAGGTCAAGGTCAAATGAGACCTGCCAGCTAGACATGTACACCTTACAATCATTCCATACACCAAATATAGTAGACCTATTGCATACAGTATAAGAAAAACAGACCAAAACACAAAAACTTAACTATAACCACTGAACCATGAAAATGAGGTCGAGGTCAGATGACACCTGCCAGTTGGACATGTACGCCTTACAGTCCTTCCATACACCGAATATACTTGACCTATTGCTTATAGTATCTGAGATATGGACTTGACCACCAAAACTTAACCTTGTTCACTGATCCATGAAATGAGGTCGAGGTCAAGTGAAAACTGTCTGACGGGCATGAGGACCTTGCAAGGTACGCACATACCAAATATAGTTATCCTACTACTTATAATAAGAGAGAATTTAACATTACAAAAAATGTTAACTTTTTTTTCAAGTAGTCACTGAACCATGAAAATGAGGTCAAGGACATTGGACATGTGGCTGACGGAAACTTCGTAACATGAGGCATCCATATACAAAGTATGACGCATCCAGGTCTTCCACCTTCTAAAATATAAAGCTTTTAAGAAGTTAGCTAACGCCGCCGCCACATCACTATCCCTATGTCGAGCTTTCTGCGACAAAAGACGCAGGCTCGACAAAAACTGGAAAATCCCCCCTTTTTTAATGAATAAAACCCCAAAACTCAGAAATGTAAAATCTAAAATTTATAAAATTCTAAAGGGAGCTTACGGATTGATAATTTAGTCTTAGATGCAAGATTTTTTTATCAGTTGTTAGTGGCTTTGAACTAGCTGTCAGTAACTTTGAGTACTCTCAGATCTGTACTTAGTGTCTATTTGTTGTTTGGATGTACAACTACCCGACCACGTCCACTTGTATTTGTATTTATCCATCTGATGAGTTAAACCTCTTTCAACTGATTTTTATAGTTTGTTCTTATATTGTACTGTTACACCACTGTCCCAGGTTAGGGGGAGGGTTGGCGCGCCTTCAAACTAGTTTAACCCCGACACATTCTGTATGTACATGTATGTGCCTGTCCCAAGTCAGGAGCCTGTAATTCAGTGGTTGTTGTTTGTTTATGTGTTGCATATTTGTTATATTCGTTCATTTTTTGTACATAAATTAGGCCGTTAGTTTTCTTGTTTAAATTGTTTTACATTGTCATTTTGGGGCCTTTTATAGCTGACTGTGCGGTATGGGCTTTGTTCATTGTTGAAGGCCGTACTGTGACCTATAGCTGTTAATTTCTGTGTCATTTGGTCTCTTGTGGAGAGTTGTCTCATTGGCAATCATACCACATCTTCTTTTTTATATTTACATCAACAGATATAAACAATTCACCAAAGTCAAGGTGAGACAACAAAACTTAGTAAGAAGATCTCTGAAATGTTTTACACGGTACAAGTTTTTCTCATTGTTGGAGATTGTACGGTGACAGAAACACCTATAACTGCTTAAACCCATTTCTTATGCACTTAAGTTCGATAAACTCACTGAATATCATACCACATCTCCTTATTTTCATATGCATTACAATTTACATGTGCATGTAATTATAAATCAAGGCTTCCAAAACGGTCATATATTCCGGACATTTGTATAATGTCCGGTAAAAGTCCGGCTGGGCAAAGCATGAAACGGACATCTACTTTTTAGTTTTCAAGGCTTAAGAGACGGTCATTTTAACATAATTCACGATCTTTTTGACCCAATCTTTTGCCTTTAACAGCCACACATTTCCGGTCATAAAAGTGACATGATCATTAAGTACTATCAAAACAACCCCTACTTTAATACCTTCTCATTTTAATCAAGGCTAATTAGTTGTCGAACAGCTGAATTTACCTGTTCAGGTGACAGGTAAACTATTTTGAACCGGACATTGATCGGTCTATTCAAAGTTATTTTCTTACATTTCAGCGGTTTGCATGTAATTAATTTAGTCAAAAAGATTTAAATTATCAGAAATACGTTTACAAATATGATTTGATGAAAAAATTAAAAAGGTGAAAATGAAAAATCGTCGTAACCACGTTGTTTGAACCAGAGACATGTCTCTGTTTGAACTAGTACACGTGTGCGCATGTGCGCAGGTGTGAAATTTAATTATGCATCCTAATTTCTTCAAAAAATGCTTAAATTGTCATTGATACCTTTATCTCACGTTTATTTCGAATATTTTCTTGAAGAAATAACGTAGAAAGAGCTACTTACACTCATTCATGCTTTGCAAACGTACACGGAATTTACGTATCCGTCTCTTGTCCATGTTTTACCATTGTCAAGATAACATCCGGTTTAGATTTAAAAACGAAAGTAAAGTTTTTGACAACGTTATTTTGCACAAATAAAGAGTCTAAGCAGAGATAAGTACGCTGATGTTGCACACTTCGAATGATGCACTGCCAATTTAACAGTTTACGTCAGAACTTCGAATTTGAATCTAAGAAAGTTTAATATCGTTTTTTTTTAATGTCAATCATTGGGATGGCCAACTCGGCAACTGATTACCATAATTGCCTTTTATTTATTTAGTCTTAAGTGATTAAAATCGGGATAATATATAAAATGTCCGGCTGGCTAAAAATAAATATATATATATCAGAACAAAATTCATTGCGTCACTTTTATTTATGCATCCTTTGGCACAATACAAGTTCTAAAATTACACAACATCATGAACATAGTACAACTAAATGTTATTTCAGATGAAAGTTTTGTTTCAGTTCCATTCATAAGATTTATTAGAATTTTGTATGTTTTGCCAAGTCCAATAATTCGCTCTATGTGCACATGTTAATTGGAGACTTTTCTATCCCGTATAAGAGTTTTGGAACTAATTCTGTTTCTTTTTTTGAAAAAAGTTAGCAAACAAATCTTGCACATTTAAACCTTTGTCTGCCATCACACTGTCACCTGGATCACATAATTGAACTATTCTACATCTTTCAACTATTTCATAGTCACTGGTAGAACCAACATATGCATTAGAGACATAGTTGACTAAACCAACAGGTGTCGAACATACAAGTATTTTCAGTGTTTCTGTTTTTATATGATGAAAAGGTTGCCTGAGCTCTAGGAGCTTTAGGTTTTATCACGGGATATTCTGTGCTGTAAATAATAATCCAAGTCGTAGGAAACTTTAATTTGAAGTTGGATGGTGAAAAATACCTGACTAAACCACTAGATGGCCAAGTGTTAGCCTCACACCACTGTTTAGACATAAAAACAATCCATGTATACACAATATTCTTAACACTAGATTCAATCTAGAATCTAGAAAGTTCAAAATTGGTTGTATAATGCCTCAATTTCATCAAAGTCATAAAAAACTGATTTTCAACTGACACCCTATCAATTTGAAAATATATGTATCTCAAACAATGTGCTACTGGACCAAGTGTGGTCAAAACAAATAAAAATTTAGTATACAACTCTAAACCGGTATAAAAATGCATGGCTGTGTCACGTGTCTTCATTTCAAAACTCTCTGCTGAAAACATAGGCATTGATGGTGTTTGCATAATTCCATCTGTGAAGTTCAACATTAGCTCGGCAGTTGGTGGTGGACAGTCATAAATCCTTTCTGCAGTATGAATGACTTCTTCAGGAAAACCAACTTTACAATCAAAACTTTCCTCTAGATTTCTACTACAATATTCATCAAGTTTAGTTCTTTTGTTTTCACAGGAAACTGCCCTGATTTTTCTTTTTGCGGACGATTCAGTCTCTTGCTTGGTCCAGGAAAATAGGCTGGGAATGGCAGTAGACTTAAGTCTCTGAATGGTGGGTTTGCGCCCTGAAAAAGGTTATAAAACATTAGTTTTTTGATAATTAAATGAACTTCCATTAGCAATGTATACTTTGTATTACCTGGCGAAATATTAACTAGATTTATTCATTACAATCTGGATAAAACTATGTTTGCCTGATTCAATGTATGTTATGTAAATCCAAAGGACAAACAATGAGAGACTTATGCAACAAACATACATTGTTTGTACCTAAATAACTATAATATAGATGAGAGCATGTCATTGTTTTGTTCCTGTTAACATTGTCATTGATATTTTTCAAGAAAGTCTATGAGGCATAGCTTATGCATTCCTGTCATTACTACATTAGCATAATTACTGCTAAAATAATTCTCAGTATGATATACCTCTTGTAAGAAATCATTATAATTGTAGCAATCACCAAAAAATCTCAAACAGATCACATTGAATCGTAATCCAAAAAATTATGACGTCTTGAATTAACCACCCCCTTTTATTCTAAAACGATAATTGCGGTTGTAAACAGACTTTGGTTTATTCGCATGGCGATTACATATATAACTATATATTTCAAAAAGAAAATAGAGTTTTACCATGAATAGTTTCCTGCACGTAGTCTTTTTCAGTAAAATGTGCCTTGCAAACAACAGCTGATTGAGATGGACTCCACGATTTCATCGTGTTCTCGTCCAATGTGCGTATGGGCCATGGCGTTGATCCAACTTTTCCTACTTTTAAAGTCATTTGGAAATGCATGTCCTCCTCTTAAATGACATCCAGGTACACAACAACAAGTACCTAGCATCGTTAATTAAAAATGTAACTGAAATAGTTGCACAGTGCACAAACCGGAAGTTGCGGAACAGGATCGGCTACCACGGCGCCATCTATTCAGGAACGATAATCTGCTACTTTATATAACTGCGAAATAACAATAACGTAAGACGGGTTCACGTGCATAAACAGAAATGAGCTTTAAATTGTATAATATAATTCATGTTCAGTCGACCTTTAATCATTATATCAACGACTGAAATGATTTATAAACATATCGATTGCAGATAACACTCGAAATTAACCCGAGCTCTTTCCACACGGAATTCAAATAATTCTAGTTTGTCAATCGGTTGACTGCTTATAATGCAAAATACAAATATATCAAAAGTTTTTAAAACTAACAAAACACAATGATCGTTTCTCTATTTCCCAATGTAAATGAAATGAAACAAAAAACATTTTATATCACAATAAGAAGAGGAGAGAATTCAACATTTCCGGATCTACTTGGAGCCTAACGACCCCCCACGTAGATAAGTTGGATATCGCGGAAGGAAGGATTAACCAGGCAACTAGAAAGGCATTAAAGCACTGCCTTTAAAAACTGATGCGAAACATTTGAATATATATTGACATTAAATCACATTTCTAACAGTACAAACATTAGCAGTTATATATTGTCCCTTATTAACAGAAATGTAGTATATTGTCGTTCAATTCTCAATATTTAAGCTGTAGTTATTATATCTCAGCATGTATTTTATATACTATTATACATGTTATAGATGAATAAATTTGCTATTTCCACGAAATTGTCTATTAGCAGGGTATGAAATATTTACTGGAAGCAAACATATTCCGGTAAAAGACTATTTACCAGTTTATAGTTAAACAAAAAACGTAATGGAAGCAAAAATTTTCTTGTATTTTAAGATAATAAAACTTACTTACTGGCTATTCGGACAATAGCAAGGTTAATACCTCAAAGTTAAAGAATTCGAGTATTATTTTATATTTGATAAGGGTATGGTATCATAGAAAAAAAATGTTGCTCACGGCTGGTTTATTGTGACGTAGAAACTTCATTCCGAGTTTACCCTGGTGTCGTTCAATCTTTACTTTTTGAATGTTTAATTTGGTCAGGTGTACTGTAGAAGGTGTTTAATTCTTTGTATTTCTTTAAGCATATGACTTCTTTGGATTGTTTTTGTTGACTTTTGTGGTTTAGTTTTTTGTTCTGTTCTCTTAGTCTATTTATTACTATTCTGTTTTAGACAATTTTGAGGTAAACCAAGCTCGATACATCTTTTCCGGAAGTGTGATACCGTTTTGGTTTAACAAAAAATTACAATTGACAAATAAAAAAATGCTACATAATGAGAATAGGAGATTTCTGAGACAATGGAAATAAATCAATCTACGATAATCATCATCATCTGTGCATTTCAAACTTAAAGGCTAAGTGTTCTGGAAAATGCTATATAATTTTTGAGTGAAGGGAATTGGAAAACTAAATAATCGGAACAATCCAATTCATTAAAGTATTCTATTATACTATTAAAAGGATCTGTTGTGAAACGCTTTTTGTTTTATCAATTTTTTTAATCTTACTCACCGTCCAGTGTCCTTCGTCTAAATTCATTTCACAATAAACATCAAATCCTTGTGTTTGATTTGGAAACACCTTATATACTCCACTTGGACATTTGACAGGAATATCATTACAATCAATAGGCCTTCCTTCTACAATGAGACACACAATGATGATATATTGAATTCTGAAATACCTTTTACTTCATCTTATTATAAAAGTGTCCTTTATCGCCAAGTCACACATAACTATAACACACATACTATTCTGAAGTAGATGGGGTTGGTGTAACTTACATTTTTTTATTGAGGCTTAAAGTTGGCATTGCTATCGTTATGTATTAAAACAATTATACATTTTAATTAGATAACTTTTGAATATGAAATTATCTATAATAGCATTGTTCAGAAAAAAATACTAGCGACAGAAATAACATAAATCATGCCAAACATTTTAATTTTTAATCCTTTGCCTGTGTCCATGCTTCTTCTCCATAAAAACATATCCCTTAAATTAAAAACATTAAATGCATAATATTTTTGAATTCACCTAGACTTACATTATGTAAAACATGATAATAGATAACGGGCATGAAAAACAAAGACAAGAGTTAAATTGGTGAACAAAACCAAGAATAGAGAGAAATAAGGTTTAAAATAGGAAGAATCGTTACAATTTATCATATATAATCTAAAATAACGAAAATCCGTCTTTTCCCCAATCCTGTGTTCCCCTCATACATATTTTAGGCCCTTTTATTATACTATACGTATGCTTGAAGAATATTTTAGTAATGGAAATATGGTAAAATAGTTTGTTCTCTCACTGGTAGGTCGGTACAAATACTTTGTGTGTTTAGTACCGATCTGATGAGTTTAGCACGAAGTAAATGCTATTTCATTCGTTATTATGCTTTACGTGTTGTAGTGTCACTGTCGACAAAACAGGTTTTGGGCGTAAAGATATTTATTCTTCATTTCTCATGCATACATTGTATTACATAGACAACAGATAGGGTCTTACAGATTGTTGGTAACATCTCTCAATTGCAAAGCAATACAGGTAATACAGTTTATTATATACCTCATGTAAATGTTTTTTTTACGTGGCATGACGGCATACAGATTAGGGCGTGATAAAGCCTTTGCAACCGTAACTGATATCGATATCATCACGGATAACTGATACACCACGATTGCCGTTGACCGTTTTACACTTACAATTTGTCTGTATTTACATTATGTACTACTAAGAATATCCTAATTAAGGTTGTAAGTAACGTCTCTCGAAGTCATACATATAACGAACATGTTCGTCACTCTATCTAACAATACAAATATTACATGCCTGTTAAATATTTTCTTGTCAAGCACCAACCCTGCTGCATTAAAAGGACAGCCTCGTTCTGAATTTTGAAATCATCTTTTTCTGATGATATGTCTATAAAGTATAGACTTTTTAGGGAGCTACCATTTGGTTTTAGAGGGGGGGGGGGGGGGGGGGGGTTCGGATGAAAAAAATTGTCCTACATTTTTATTTTTCACTCTATTCGGTCCTACATTTTTTTTATTTATCGCGACGTTTTTATACAAGGTTAGTGTGAGCCACCCCACCCTTTCCCCATAAAAAATCAAAACAGTTGAGACTCAATTGGGTTCTTATCCCAAGAACAATAAATTGAACAGTTTAAAACCCTATTATTAATTTTTAGCTCTCGTTTGCAATGTTAAGTTTTTGATTTGTTAATTATACACACATGTTCGAAGAACATATTTATCGTTGATATTTAATTTTTGTTAAAACTGCTGATGAGCTCTTTTTTATGGCCCCGCAACAAAGTTGTCGGGGCCATATAGTGTTATCCTTGTCCGTCATTCCGTCATTCCGCAACAAACCATTATACGCAATTTTTTTCTAAACGCCTTCAGATATTGGGCTGATTTTTTGATATGTGAGTTAACCATGATGAGTTAGAGATCATGTTTAAGTTTCGTTCCGCTCTGCTAATTTTTGTCGAAATTCCGGGCTTTTGACTTTGATAAATTGTTGAAAATCACAATTATGCGGACTTTTTTTCTAAACGCTTTCAGATATTGGGCTGATTTTTTAGTATGTGAGTTAATCATGATGAGTTACAGATCAAGTTTAAGTTTCGTTCCGCTCTGCTTATTTTTGCCGAAAATACGGGCTTTTGACTTTGATAAATTGTTGAAAATCAATGTTATACAGACTTTTTTTATTTACGCCTTCAGATATTTGGCTGATTTTTTGGTATGTGAGTTAACTATGATGAGTTACAGATCAAGTTTAAGTTTCGTTCCGCTTTACTTATTTTTGCCGAAATTACTAACTTTGGACTTTGATAGATAGTTTGAAATTTAGTATGAAATTTAACTACTCATTGATCCAGGAAATTTTTCAACAAACTAGCATTGGTTTTGATAACTGGATACTATCCATGCATGTTTGTCTCCACATGTGTTGTTGAAAGTGCAGATTTTTCAACTTTTTGAGACGGGGCCATTCGTGTCGTTCCGACACATCTAGATTCTTTAAACAATCATTGTTTGAAAAGGGTATAAAACCAACAATTCATTGCAAAATATGTGTCATTTTTACTTACGAAATGAGTTTCGGTAAATAAACCTCCATTCGTCTAAGGTTTCAGTTTCAACGCAACATTGCTCAGATGTATCAATACGACATGTTGATGCTCCTTTGGAATAACTCGCCAAACAGCATTTTGGATCTGATAGGCACATATCTGCACATCCTATTATGGACTTACAATACACATCGGTGGTATTTTCGGTCTGAACAATTCTAGTGCTACCCTTTGTTTGAAATGTTTCAGATCTCACATCTTCATTAGTTGCATTTACTACAGTGAACGTAAATGTTGTAATAAAACACAATACTGCACAATAAGGAAAACAGCAAAATTTCATATTATTTCATATGTACAGAATTACTATTACGAAGATAGACAGACTGTTGTCGACTTAAAAATTAGATTTCCAAAATGATATTTCTTGTTAAATAGGTGTTCCTAATATAGGTTGGTTAACATATACAACTGCATTCTTATATCAGATAACATGTGATACCATAGATCAAATTCATTTATCAATCGATTGAATTTAAACGATGATATTCATAAACCAACATGAAAAATACTTAATTTTGCCGAACAAACAAATGCTGATGTCAATATCAGAACAAATATACGGAAGTGAAACCTAGGTTTCATACAAATTTAAAGTAGTTTCCATGTGTTTGTAAAAATTTAAAGCTCACGTTTTGGTTCTAATTTATATATTTTTAATAACTAGCCCATTGTATAAAAACGACTATAATTCACTTACAAAAACTTACTTTTGTCGTAGAGATAATGGTTATGTCATTATCAAGAACAATGAATAGGAATTGAAAATACAATTGCACCGAAAATGGAGGACTTTTCTTTCATTTGGAAAAACTAGATCAAGTTCTTCATGTATTTCTATGTTAAAAAAGTCTTTACTTGATAAATATTTGCATAGAAACCACTAAAAACGCTTTGATAAATCATTTAACGGATTCATTAAATAGCCATGCATAGTATTTAATTATTGTAAGCTGAAATACATCATGGATGCGTACTGCGTCATAATTAAAAACTTCGTCCTTGAGTACTTGTACTTATCTTTTCAATACATGTACGTACAGTTGGTCGACAGTTTTTCCCTAAAGTGAGATCCGAAACAATTGAGTAGGAAAGCAACTGACATATAGTCAATCAAAATATTATTGCAAAATAGAAAATAATATTTAATATTTATGACATATAATTAGAAACATGGCGCGCATTTTCGAAATATTTGTAAAATTTTGCTTGGATTGGAAATGGACACGTCCATATAACAACGAACTATTGTTAGAATATTCTTTGTAACAATCGGAAGATGGATGAAATGATACGATTTGTTCCCTCATAACCAAGAAAATATAAACCAAGACTGGTAAAATTCAATCATAAAACACAAAAACACGTGTCATAAATAAAAAAAAAAACAATATGGAGTGACTTTGTTTTTTTTTAGTTGAACATATTGAACGGAAGACTGTTGTACGTACACATGTATACGTATTTTTAAAATAACGAAAAGGCTTCATAAGCATATGCGTGCCTAAGTTGTATGATATTGTTGGAATATATTTCTATTTTGAAAATCGTATGCATGTGATCTGTGTTTAATCTGGTGATGAATCAGTGGTCAACGATGGTGACAGTGATTTTCCGTGTGAATTGGATTTGCAAATTTGAAAATAATATATTTATTAATTCCTGTTCTCTAAGATGCCGTATTTGTAAGTAAACAAACCTTTATTCTTAGTACATGCAATTAGCATCTGTCAGATGACAAGTTACCATTACGTTGTTTTAAAGTGCCCGAATCACTTGCAAAGGATGAAAAGATGAATTACGGACTAGATCTGATTTGGCAATCTTCTTTTTGAGACCTTTGTGTTTAAAGCGATTTCATGTATGGACTACTAGCCAAAATAATTGCATGCATTTTTCTTTATTATATGTCTTTTTTTCGACACGAAAAGCTTATTTAAATATAACATGGATTTGTATTTGTAACTTAAAAAATCCTTAAAAATACATTAAAATTGAGAATTTTTATAATACACAAAATGTACATTCTACACAGATACCGACATTTGTTCATATCAATTTTTTTTAATTACGGGGATTTAACGTCACATCTCTGCCGCAAATCATAAAAAAAATCTTACACCAAATTTACAATATCCTTGACAAATCTCACTACTAGCCTTGTTAATAGTCTGCTCGACTGTCTTCTCTACTACTTGATTGTCTATTATTGTCCTTTGTACCCCAAAGAATTCTTTAGAAAACTATTTAGTAACGCCTCGAATACCGGGAAATTAGTTTGTTTGGTGTATAAAGCTCATCAATAACTTGATTACTCGTAGCCTAATCTTGTTTGCCAATGGATCACATGTAACTCGTATATGTAAGAGAATGATAATCCCTTTCTTCATGATTAAGTACGAGCGTTAGCATTCTGTTTTATCAAAAAGTATTCGTAAAGGAAAACGTCTCTATTGCTGTTTTATTGATTTTGTCAAAGCTTTCGACAGTGTGTCACATTATGTTTTATGGCAAAAAATGTTAAAATGCGGTATTAGTGGAAACCTATTGAATCTTATTAAATCAATGTATTCTAAGTTAAAAACTTGTGTTAAATTAGATGGTGAATTTTCAGATTTTTTCCATTGTAATGTTGGCCTAATGCAAGGTGAATTATTATCTCCATTTTTATATGCAATTTATGTAAATGACATAGACATTGATTTAATTAAACAAGGAATAGAACCATATGAAGTAAAAATGTTAAATCTTTATCTTTTTATGTATGTTGATGATACAGTTCTCTTCAGCGAAAGTATTTCTGAATTACAAAAAATG